AATATTTTTGTTTGAATTTTTTTAGATAGAGGAATAATTTCAGCAATATGTTTATATTTAATATTTTTAATTAATAAAGCAATAATTATTTTATGATTTATATAAGTAATATATTTTAAATAATTTGTAAATGGTATTTTATATTCAATATTTTTGAAATAATATATTTCATATTTTTCAAGAATTAAATTAATAATTAATTCAAATATTTTTTTATCATTTGTTTTTAGTATTAAAGTTTTCCATAATGGGTTTATTAAAAAGTTGAAATACCATTTATTAAGTAATATATATTTAATTTTTTTTTCATCAAATAAAAAAATATTATAAATTATTTCTGGTGGTAAATTAATCATTTTTTTTAGTTATTTAATAAAATTAAAAAGTTAATTATATAGTTTTCATAATTATTAATATCAATTTTTATAAATAATCATTATTTGAAAAAAAATAAATAATAAACAAAATGGTTAATTTCATTATTGATATAATTTTAATATTGATTGTTATAATTTTAGTATTGGATATTATTAAAATATTTAAAAAAAATTCCAAAAAAACATTATATGTCATTGTCATACCATATAAAAGAAATGGAAAGATATTAATATCAAAAAGATTAGGTAAACTTTATAAAAATTTGTACTGTTCACTAGGTGGAAAAGTTGAAGATAATGAGGAAATTGAAAAGGCTGCTAAACGAGAATTATTCGAAGAAACTGGAATATTAGTAATTAATAAACTTGATTTAATAATGATTAATAATTATGAAAATAGATGTGTATATGTTTATAAAACATTAGTTGATAATTTAATTAATGTTGAAAATAAAGAACTGAAAAAGCATAAAAATTGGTTTTGGACTAATAAATTTTATATTAATCCATTAATTCCAACAATGAATATTTTTAAAAGAGAAATATTAAAAAATATTACACCGAGATATATTGTCATATCAGGTCCTACAGGTGTTAGAAAAACAAGTATAATGAAATTATTAAAAGAAAAAATAGAAAATGAAGGATTTTCTGTAAAGATTTGTTGTGAATCTATTTTAAAAGGATCAGAATATTTGTTAGAATATAAAGAAAATGATATTCAAAAATTTGAATATGCTTTATTGAATCAGTATCATAAATGTCGAATTGAAATGGAAAATTTAAAAGATAATTTTATTATTGTCGATCATGAAGTATTTGATGGTGATGTTTATAAAGAAATATATAAATTTGATAAAAGTGTTATTGAAAATGAACATGTTGAATTTAATAATTTAATGATAGTTTTTCTTATTTTATGTAATGAGATAAATCTTGAAAGGAATTATTATAATAGAGAAAAAAATGAACGAAAATATTCATTAGTTGAATGTAAAAATATTCTTAGAGTATATCGAGATAAATTTAAGAATAATATTTGTAATGATGCAATTATTATTAATAATAATAGTGATTTAATTTTTT